AAAAAAGAGTCGAAAATGAAAAGAAGAAGACATTATGATATTTCGATGTCACCTTCATTTATCACCTTCAAACTAAGCAATTCCATTCGTGCAGCGTTCTTGGTTTCTTTACGTACCAATTCATCGATCGTTCTGTAGGAGCCTGGTTCAATCAGACCAACCTAAAGTGGCGAACATTATTAACATAGACTTTAAGAATGTATCGGGAAACATGAAATGTTTTTCGTGAAAATTATTGAAGGACACTAAGCTGATAGGGAAATCAATTATTGCATCGCAATTTAACAACAATATGTGGCAAATGTTCATGAAATAATTGATAGAATCACTAACAATTTCAAGATTGCCTTGATCCCAATCCTCAACTTCCAAATTCGAGAAAAGTGATTTGAGACGATCGTGCAAACGTTTTGCTTCTTTTGCTTCCACCGAAATACGAAGACGCATCTCGGCACGATCGATTGTCATTATTTCGCGCAATTTTGGTATCATTTCCAATGCCTGGGCAATTCTTACATTCATTTTATTTCAGAGAAAACGATACATTTCACTACATGTATAAAAGAATGAATAATGTCACGAAATGAATAGACCTAATGGAGATTTGTTCTGAAAGTGTTCTGTGAATGAGAAATCACTTCGAGTTTATTTAATCAACAATTACAACTCATATGCCTCTCTGCAATCACCAATATCACATTCTTCCCTCCTTGACATCCTCCTTCCAGCGCAGCTAACAATAACACGCTCAGAATAATGCCTTCACGAAATTCCAACTTCAATCATTGATTTGGCAATCAAAGAGGTTTTGGACTATTTTCTCATATTGCCCAACGATTTCTATGCAGAGGACTACTTCAATTATTGAATTCGTCCATATCCTTTCATTACTTTGAATAAGCGGTTGGTAGTTATCGTTTTAAAAATTGACAACAACGGATCCACTCTATAAAAAGCAGCCGTACATGGGCTAAAAATTTTCGAGGTGAAGAGGAACCTGTTGTTTAGCGGATCGATTCGGTTTCAAACTGAAATGCAAATCGTGCAATCCTTTCTCGATCACCGCTAACGAGTACGGACGTTTCGTTTCTGGATTAACGCACATATTTGTGATTATATTTGCGACTTCTTTGAATGAAGACTCTGATTGTACATGACGCTCCTTTTCGGATACTTGCAAATCCCCTTTATCGAGAATCTGAAATCACACGGATCGTATTCGCTACGTCATTTTGTAGAACAAATTTGGAAGGGACATCAAATTAAACAAGTGAATTCTTTTTAGAATTTAAATGACATTCTGAAAAATCACCGATGACATCTCTCCCTAGTTACAAATCTCAACACCGATATAAGCGACAGGTTTCCAACAAAGCAATGAAAATAAATGAAGTGCTTCTGACTATTTTGCATATCTCCAGCTGATCCTCTGTACCAAACGCTGCATTCAATTCTTCACGTTTTGCGACTAATCCCTTTGAAACGTTTGTAAAAACGGTTGGTGTTTGGAGCACTTCATCAATATCCTTTTCACTGAAAATTGCAATGTTTTTATCTCGCTCTAGAAGACCTTCGACTAAGATTCAGCAAGAAGGACGAATAAATTCTGATCAAATGCGACAAATGGTGATCCATCCGAATAGATAATTCGCAATCACAATTGCATCATAAAGCCAGAAAAGAATGTAATAGTCAAGTATTGACTTGTACATTCAGATGATTTAAATTTTGCATTCGAAAATCAAGAATGTAACCATCGATACAGGAATGAAAGGTTCACGCTAAACTAACTCACACTCGATTGCGCCAATTAACAACCTTGTTCTTGTAACATGCTATTTCGAATCGTTTGCCACATTTCTTCATACGCACCACAGCGACATTCGTCAATAATTTCACATTAGTCGGAGTTTTGATACGACTAGCCATTGCGGGGGTCGATAGCACTGAAATATATAAGTAATGAGCAAAAATAAAGCACGAGAATAAAGCAAAACGCATC